AGCAGCAGCAGCAAGCTGTAGCACTTCTGGTGCAGTCTGGAGCATTCTAGCAGCAAAGATCACATTTCTGACTGAATAATAATAATGCAAAATTGGCTTTGAAATAAAGGTTTATAAATGAAACTTAGAAAATGTGATCTATTTAAAACTGCAATGTTCATTTTGGAAATAATTCTGACTGTTTTTTATTTAAGTTATTTATTTTGAATATGCAAATAATACCACAATGTCAAATAAAAATTTAAGGAAGCACAATAACTATCATAACTAAGGACAAAATAGCTGGCATTATCAAAAGAATTGAGTAGCATAGCTAATCATTAGCTTGTCTTCATGATTCATAGAGCCCCTTCACATAGCAAGCATTGCCATTTAAATAACTTCAGTTAACTTTGTGTTATTCTGACAAAAAGTTTCTAAAAATCTTGCAGCTATAGCTTTAGCTGTAACTAACTTCCTTCTACAATGTTTTGGAGTCAATTAAGWCAAACCTCATTGTTTTATGTTATTGTTTATTTAAAAAATCAACTGCAAAGGAAATAAATGTAGAAAAAGATAGTGTGGTGGTTTAATGTACTCTTTTCTTTTCTTTCTTTTTGTTTTTTATTTTGTTAAATTCAAAKCCAGGAATGAACTGAATCAGTGTTCATTTTTTTCTTGTTAGCATAAAGATAACTTGTCCGGTGGTGAGCCTCGGCTGGATGATTRCAGCTTACATCTAGGTCCATGAAAAGCTGGAACAGTTTGCTGTTGAATCAACTTACCAAGACAAAGAGAAAAGTCTGAGTCTCACTGCAGGCAGTGCTGAGACGGTGGAGGGCTTCCCTGACTCTGCTCCACTGGTGACAATTCCTTTAAAGCTAAATGCAAACTGCTCTGASAGCATGGCTAATTTTACATCATTGCTCCTATCATCCCCCACTTCCACTTTCACTCTGCCTTAAGGGCTCTGTCCTTACAATTAGAGAATCGTTGCATCCGATTGGCTATTTTTTTTTCACCACAGGAAATCAATGTGATATGAACATGGGAAAGTGAAGTCTTTCATGCTTATTTCATCCTCTYCATTAGAATCTGTTTGGTATAATGAGGTGAGTTTGTCCACAGGCTTCAATCTGCACGCACAGCTGGAAAACATGAAAATATCACAAAACGTCTCAGTCCTCCTATTACCACATAGTGACTTTAGAAATGTTTATTAGTAAATTATAGATCATTTATAAAGAGCATAAACTTGTAAAGGGTCATTCGAGTTACAAACTGTTATCCAGACATGAAGGATTATGTCTACTCGTTTATTTTTTGGCCTTTGTTTACATGGATGGGGAAGTCATGGGAAACAAAATGTAATTTATACAGTGAACTAAAGTTGATTGCCTGTAGCGGGCGTCTTGAATCAGCTTGAGTCCAAAAAGTAATTAGATGAACAGCTGGGATTACTTTCACTAAAATCCATCCACTGCTCATGAGCTATTTTGCTAACACAACAGACAAATGAAAAAATCCACCCATCCATTATCTTTATCTGTTTCTTTCTTTACAGGTCATTGGGGTCCCTGGTGCACATGTCCAGCAGTCACTGAGGGGCAGGTAACAGCCTGGACAGGTCCATCACAGGACCCAAAATGAACCTTATCACCTGCCATCATGAAAGGTAAACAGCTGAGTTAGTGGTGGGAAATTAGGTTTGTGGCAGAAAAAAAATCATCTACACTTCTTGATTTTACAATTTTTTTTACAGAAAAGTCCTATTTTAAAGATGTAAGTGAAATTGCTGTAAATACTCATTTAACCAATGAGCCTTTTACCAACGTTCAAACTTTTGTGCTCCAAAATGAAGCCTGGAAGACAATGTCCAGTCCAGCCTCACCTGCATCATCCGGTCACTGCATCACGTGCTCCTGCCGCAGCCTGTCAGCATCAGACAAGTCTCCCCATATAAAGCCCTTCATCTTCCTGCCCACCAGCCGAGCTCCTCCCCTTCTCCACCTGGACCAGCCCTTTTTCCTGTCCCCAAACCCAGCCCATCGAGACAGATGACTGCCTGCCCTGAACCTGGTTCTGCTGGAGGTTTCTTCCTGTTAAAGAGAAYTTTTCCTCTCCGCCGTTGCTATGTTGGGATGGGAGCATGTGTCGAAGAGATTCAACACAATCTGCTGGTTTTCTTAGACCATTTTTACTTTGTGTGCAGTGTCCTGGGACGCCATATGYTGTGACCTGATGCTACATAAATAAACTAAATGKATTCTAAATGTAACTAAATGAATTATTTGGCTTCCATCACCAGTGTCCAGGCCCCGGAGAGAAGACATCATCTCTATTCCTCATCTGAAGCCGCTCACCCAAGTTTACTGCAAATCACAGCACACACGTCTTCTGCCGGGCTCTGAGCGCCAAAACTTTAAAAGTATTTACGTCAAATAAAACTCTCTGTGTGAGTCTCTCCAGRTTGAAATACCAAGAAAACCAGTTTTAGGAATAAGACTGGAAACATAACAGTACCATTAATACCAGCCATATTATTCATATGGAATTAATTAAGTACTACAGAGAATTATCTAGTTCCCATATGGTGTGAAAATATCTAAAAAGCTTGCCACTGTTGGAAGAACACACAGTGAGTATGTTAGCTATTTGTGACCAAGATTTTCATGACAGTTTGGCACTATTGCCAACAAACTCCTTTCTTTGGGAAAAAAAGAYAATTCATAATTCTACAATCCTTTTCTGTTCTCTGTTAACGTGTTACATTAGCATTCATTGTGCTAAGTGAGGCCAAGTATCTTTATGCTCTGTGATATTCACATAAAAATCATTGTTGCCCATCTGTTAACAAATGTTTGGGCCAAATTATTATTATACTTTTTATTTTGATGTGGCACTGTGTTCTACCTGATGGGATCTAAATTATTCTTAATATGCATGTTAAACTAAAATATCCCAAGGTGGGACWAATTATTTGTCGTATGTGTCTCTGTGATGGACTTGCGACAGGTCCAAAGTGGCCCCCTGTCTCCGGCACATTGACCATCTGAGACATTGGCACCAGTGACCGCTGCGACCCAGAAAGGAAGAAGCGGGCACAGATAATAGATGAATGAATGGATTATTGTTAGTAAAAAGCTTCTGCCATGTTTTGGCTACACAACTCGTAGCAGGAACTCGTAGAAGAAGAAGAAGGAGCAACACATTTATTCAGCAATACCAAGTCTCCATTTCTTTTCTCAGGCTTTGCTGCGTGTGCTGTAACAACCTGATATATTTGCCTGAGGAGAGATAACCTGTCACATACAGTGACAGGTGTCGAAATGTATCCCAAGATACTGGAAGTGATCTGCAGACCCAGACAGAAAATACACCTGGGTACAGTAGCTAAAGGCCAGTGTATGTGTGTGTGTATGTGTGTGTGTGAGTGTATGTGTGTGAGTGCTTAAAGAACAGAAGACTAAGATAGTAAGTAGAGCAGAAAAAAATTAAAAAGGTGCATACATGGTGACTGGTATGGATGTAAAATGTGTCCCCCTTTCAGCACATGACTGCAGTGGTAAGTTCAATGAACCCATGCTAAAGAAAAAAATATTCATCCATTTATTTCTTATGRTGTCAATGCTTTTTATTGAGATGATCTATTTTTCTTCTATTTTTCTGCATATACTTCGTTACACATTTTTTGTGCAATTTCAACAATTCGTATATTAAAATGTTCAGCTCATTTACGCCTTCCTTCACCTTCTTTTAATTTTATTTCTTTATTTATGTTGCTGATTTTAACAATTTTCTGCTTTTCAGCTGTATTTCTGCTCCTTTAAGTTATTTTCCTTAGTTTAAATATTTTTATGCTTTTTTTTAGCTGATTTCTGCTAAATTCAGTTGTTTTCTGACTTTTTAGCTACTTTGGAGTTATTTTCAGCTAATTTTAGCTTTTTTCTTTTTTTTTCCCTTTTTTTTGTTATTTCAACTTCTTACTGCTTAATTCAGCTAATTTCTGCATTTTAGCTAATTTCCACTACATTTCAGCAATTTTTTGCTAATTTTGGCTGTTTTAGCTATTTTACAACAAATTGCTATTTTTAAAAACCCTTTTTTTTGTCTGTCAATGTGAGCTTTTTTTGCTCTCTGTTCACCATCTATATGCTAATTTTATTTTATTTTGCTGCCACTGTCTGTTTTTGTTTTCTTGTATACTTTTAGCAAAAGTCAGCTGTTCAAATTCAACTCAGACATTTTCAGCTTCTTCAGCAGCTCAGGAAAAATCGTTCAGCTTGAAGCATTCACACTGCATTTTTGCAGGAAATGCAAATTTTTTCGCTTACACCACTGGTTGACCAGGTGTAGTGCTTGAAATGATGAGAAAAGCAGTCAGAAACACAGCAGGGAGATGACAACATAGCAAAAACATGAACAATCACCGTTCTTCTCCCGTGCTTAAGCCTCTTTCATATTGTGACACAGAGGAATTACAGTGCTGAGACTGGGTCAGCCACTTAAGCATCTGAACACAATAACAAGCCGCGGCTCCACGGCAATTACTGCTGGACTGGAAATGTTGCCAGAACATGTCTACATCTTCTGCCACTGATGCTACTGCCATGATATTACCATGGGTCTTGTCTAGTGTGAACTGTTTGAGGAACCAAAACCCATTTAGAAAAGATAAACTGTAAAGGAAGCTGTTCAGTTTTGTAGGTCATGATGATCTGGAAAACTCCAAGGATATGTTTTCTCCATTCAAAAGCTTTCATAAACASCCACTGTGCATTGAGATGCAGCAATATAAAAAATACCTAAGGTTAAATGTGATTAAACTGCCACTTTTTGTCAGGAAATATTACAGCCAGACAAWTTGGGATGGATTCATGTGTCACACAGTCTCTCGTTAATTAAAGCCTTCCTCAAATGCCTGCCACAACACAAAGCAATAAAATGTGACGAGATAATGGAACAAAGGACTGGCTTTTGGAAATATTTCGGTGTAAAATGGCATTAAGCTGGGTCTCATTTTGCAACCGTTACATGGCACACATAATCAGGATTAACTGCAGTGTGATGGTGGGAGAGAAGAAAGAAAGAGAAGAGAGTGTGAAAAGAGAGAAAGAAGATTCCCAAACAAAGACTCCTGTCTTATTTAGAGTAATGCATGAGTACGGAAGCCGTCCTTTTTTAATGTATGAAATTTCATTCCTATTTTGTTTCACTTATCATCATTAGCATTTTGAAGAATTTGAAATTTTAGA